TCCTGCTTTCCCTTTCCTTGTATTGTATCTTTCTATTTGTATTTCTTCTTTGGAGTTCTTATACTAGGGAGACTATACGATATTTACACGTGTGTCTGGCTTATTTCACTTATGAGTATATATTCAAGTGGCATCCACTTCAATATAAAGGCTTGCAGGTTATTCTTAATAGCTGAATAATACTCCATGTAAAATAAATTTTAAGGAGTTAAAAAAGATACTATCTTTTTTTTTCTTTTTGGCTTGCTCAGCCCACCCTCATGCCAAGGGCTAGCTTGGCCTGTGGAGCTGGAGATCAAACCATGGTCCCCTACATCTGCCTAAGCTTGCCTAAGCAGGTGCTTTAGACCACTGAGCTGTCATGCTGGCCCCAAAAAGATACTACCTTAAGAATTTATCATTTAAACTATTGATTCATGGCTGGAATTCCAGAGTTTTTATGAGAAAAAAGAAAGACAAGAAAAAGTCATAGTTAATATTAGGTAAGGGAGGGCCAGCCAGATAGCTCAGCAGACTAAAGCGCCTGCTTAGGTAGAGCGCAGGGGTCTGATCAGCCGCAGGCCATGCTGGCCCCACCCCCAGGATGCGCTGAGACATGATTGAGCCTGGGCCTGGTGGTGTGTGCCTGTAATCCTAGCACTTGGGAGGCTGAAAACAAGAGGATCACTTCCAGTCCAATCTGTGTAGTGACACCCTGTACTAAATATGCATGTGTGTGTGTGTGCGCGCATGTGCTGGGTGAGGGGGTTGTGAGGGTCTCTTTTTGAAACAAGACTCCCTGTGTAGCTCAGCCTGGCCTTGAAGTCACTGTGCAGCCCACGTCAGCCAGGCGCTCATAGCAATCTTTCTGCCTCTGCCTCCCAGCGTTGGGGTCACAGGTGTGTATCACCACTCCCAGCTAGAAGGTCCTTTTAATAGGACCCAAAGATTGAGATTGTTTTACAGTATTCTTTTGATGACATAATATGCTGTGTTTGCCTTCTTGTCCTTTTTAAAATTCTCCTGTTGGCTGGGTCCCTCATTTGTACACCTGACACATGGGCAAGTGACCTGAAAGGTGACATTTCTGAATGAAGCTGAGCACAAGAGAAGGCTTTCCATTTGCTCCAGCCCGCTGTGCGAGGAGCTCTTGCTTCCCAACGGTTCCGACAGGTTTAGAGCATACATTAAGCTGCTTGACGCAACCTGTTGGAGGGCTTTACCCCGTCAGCGGAGCCACTGGGATTTTGGAATTTTATATACGTATTCCTAGACAGTTGTTGAGCCTTCGTAGTGTCTGACCTAGACAGTTGTTGAGCCTTTGTAGTGTCTGACCGTGCTATACATCCATTGGCCAGCCAAGCTGAACTTCCTATGGAGAATTACCTGATTCTCTAGATAAGAGGCCTTCCCACTAAGAGGAAGTGGTACACACAGCCAAAGCCCAGACTCAAGGAATTTGCCTTAGCAGGTAGCTCAGAGGCCTAAAGTTGTACTTTTGGCAGGCACGGTAGTGGCTGCCTGTAATCCTAGCACCAGGTGGCTGGGGCAGGAGGATCACTACAAATTCAAGGCCAGCTGGGGCTACATGTGGAGTCCAAGGCCAGCCTGAACTACACAGCGACCCTGTCTTTCAATCAAGTCATACTTTTGCACTTCAGTTTATATTTAGAGCTTTGTATTGAGTTCCAAGTGACTAGCTGACTGAGGGGAAAGAGCTGCAATGCAAACAAGTCTCTCTATACACTGACCTACTGGCAATGGGCTGCGTTTAGCATTTAAAGCCCTATGAAGTAGTAGTCCTTAAGGAAGAGTAAAACAGAAACAAAACCAAAACACTCCCACAGGAGAGGATTTAGCTGGTCTTGTGAACTTTGCCTGAAAGGGGAAGAGGCTTAGGATAAAGATCCACCCCACAAGCAGTGACTGGATTCGTCAGATGGTCAGGCACTGGGAGCATGAGTTTTTGGGTCTTCTCAAAGTGGTTCTGAACGAAGAGAACACTTGGGTCCCCTCGAGGGCCCGAAGAAAAGGTGGTCACTGCAGAAGGGCTGTCAGTCAGAACAGGACCGCTATGTTAGCTAGTGGTGGTTGGCTATCCCAACATTTAGCCTCTTGTTTCAACAAGGCTGCTATTAAGCGGCTGGAAATTTTGATTTTATCACGAGGCGTGACTGAGGCAGGATCAGCTTCCAGGGCATTCACATGCTTATTGCAGGACTGAGTTCTCTGAAAATGAAGACTTCCCTCAGTTCCTGGCTAGGTGGGCTTCTGCCACGGTCATTTCTCAGCGTGGCAAATGACGTCCCATGGAGTGACCAAAGAGTAGGGAAACCCATGCAAGGGTGACCAGTCTTTGCGAGCTGATCTCAGTAGAGCTCCACTGCATTCTCAACCCAATCACGTCCTTCTCAGGGAGGGCTGCCTACCTTGTGACCCCGTGACGTCATCAGCCCACCTCCTGCAGCACTGCAGTTTGCTCAGTTGGGCAACGAGTAGCGCAGCTGTGGAGGGCTGGATGTGTGTACCTTCTGACAGTCCTTAGGACCGACTGGCTAGCATGAGTGCTGGTCAACTGCAGTGACCCTCTGATCATAATGGACTCCCACTGTCACACAGGTCACAAACTATTAAGAGGAACAGTTATTCTGAGTCTGGAGTGCTCTCACTGCTCTGTCCCTTTAGCTCCTGCCCTCCTCTGTGGACTTATTGAATGGATTCCTTTACTCAGCACACCTTAAACCACATCCCACATGACTTAACTTCTTACCAGAAATCTCACTTTTTCCTGTTGAAGATGTATAGCAGGGGATTGATACTCTCCTATGGACAGAAGAGCAGCAAGGGATCACCACCTCACTGTGAAATCGGACACGCTGGTGTGTGCTTTGCTTTCCTCTGTGGGCTTCCCTGTTCAGAGCTGCCTCCTTGGTTGACCTTAGCTCACAACTGCTTGGTCCTCAGCCCTGACCCTCTGCTGGGAATGCAGCTCACTGTGCATGCAGGAGGCATTGAGCCTCCATGCCATACTGTGAGAACTGGAGCTCTAGAACTCATGCACATCTACTGACCTTCCCACTCATGAGAAGTCTTCTGCTATTACTGCTATCAACAGGTTTTCATGCTCTTTGGAGTATCTTCTGACTTTTTATTGATTCTAATTAGTCTCTGCGCATCACTAGCAGCTGCTAGATTGATTTTTCTTGGTCCTTTGATCATTAGTTGATCTCCACCCACAGTCCTGTTTTCTACGTCTGATCTGTCCTCACATTGATTCTGGGTGTACTTGCAATAGTGTATGGATATCTTGCTGTACTGTATATTTACATCTTTTCAGCATCCAAGACCACCTGTAGCAGGCTAACCCATTAGCTTGTGAATAAGATAAAATCGTACAGCTTTTACTGCTTTTGCCATTTATCTCCAGGATTCCTGGTTCCATTAGTGTTGCAGTTTCTGTACCTGGAGCAATCCTTCCACAAGGAGAGATACTATCATTTTCTCTAAATCGGACATTGGGATTATCACGTCATTTTCAGCTCATTCCTCTAGGAAAGGACTTGGAAGAGCAGCTGTATTAGCTGGGGTGACTGACACTGAGGACCAGAGGAGGAGAGCAGAGAAAGTTCTAGAACTTGGGGTCTTCTAGACCCATTCTCTTCTCCACACCTGTTCTTGAACAGCATGCTGGACATGTGGCAAGTCCACTTATGGCAAGTCTACCTGGTGTTCAAATCCTTAGGCTCCCAGATGATAAAGACATCTGAATGGCTACGGTGCTGCCTATACACAATGGGTAGGGAAGAGATGAGTGTTGAGAGTTATAACCACCGAGACCCAAGGCCAGCAGAACTAAGAACTGTGCATAATTACCATTGTCCTCATTAGAGAAGTTTGAGACATAAAACATGCTGCTAGTCATGGGCCGTGTTAGAAATTCTGACTCTATTGGTCTATAACAGGGCTCTGGAATTTAACAAGTAGTTCAGGTGATTCTCGCTAAGAAAGGCTGCAAAGATTCTTGCAAAATATTATTTTAGCTCTATTTCCCTTCTCATTGGGACATGGGTGCCTGTGTAATTAATTTTCTTATTTTCCATTCCTACACTATTATTTTGCATGGAGGTGACTGTTAGGTCATACTTTTTGTCTGGCCTGGGACAAGATCATCACGGAATCGGAGAAAATGCCAAGCACCTGTGCTCAAGGGTTACGGTACTATCAGGAGGCGGCATTTGAAGTAGGTGAATATGGGTAGAACAGTGTACAAAATCACAGGTAAGGCAGATGGCAGCAGTTGTCCGCTGGCTTTACTCTTGGTGCTGCTACCACACCTCTTTGTTATTTGATGAATCTGGAAGAGTGAGCCCAACTTTGACCTCAGAGGCAGTCTTTGCTGCCAGACGCCTGGGCATCCCGTGGGACTCGAGTCTGGGGTTGGTGGCGTGAGCCCAAGGCCCGGTTGCCAGGGCACTGCTGAGAGCCAAAGCACACACCGCCTCTCTCCCTCTGCAAAGGCCAGAACTGGCTACGATTCTGGGCACCCAACTTCCTCTGGCTCCGGTCTCATTCCCAAGCTTGGTTCTCCAGCCGGTGCAGCAGTTCTGCCAACTGCCCGCTCTCCTGTACATTCCCTTTGTCTGCATTAAGTCTGTTCTGTTGTGTGTAGCCATGAGCCCTGACCGCACGCCCCCTTCTCCAAGTGCCCACCACGTCACGTCAGCCCAGCACTCTCCTCTCCTTAGAGCCCTGTCTCGTCTCTCACAATCGGAATCTGGAAGTAAACAATGTGCAATGGCTTCCTGATAAACGAAAACCCGAATGCTAGTTTTCAAAGCAGAATCATTGATAGGATTTTAATACTGTATCGAAATAAGAAATAACTAGCCAACCATGATCCTAAGAGCAACTTCATCATTGACTCTACATCATTATGAATTTTATAAGAGATGGTGCTAGTCTAGTTCAACGGGAATCACCTGCCTAGTACACACAAGGGCCTGGGTTCAATTCCCAGCACACACACCTCCTATTGGTATTCAAACTGAGGACCAAGCTACATATGAAGACGACAAATTTGTGACTAAAGTATGTTGTAGGGCTGGGTGTGGTGGCACACAGCTGTAGTTCAAGCACTCATGAGGCTGAGGCAGGATAGCTGCAAGTTCAAGGCTAGCCCCAACTACACAGCAAGATCCTGTCCCCCAAAACCAAACAAAAACCAGGAAAAAAACGTATATAGTGGATAATGAATATAGTTCCATTGTCCAGCTATCATATCCTTGATATATTAGTCAGTGTTCAAAAAATTTGAGTAAATACTTGGTATATGAAGCATTATGAGAAACATCATTGTACAAACATGAGCGTGTACCATACATACACACTTAATAAGGCCTATTATGCATCTGGATTATATGGTTGTACTGGTTGATACACTACGTCAACCTGAGAAGTTTAACTGACTCAGCAGAGAGCCCGGATTCTTAGTTCTAAACATCCTCATCCTGTGCAAAAGGAGGGCCTGGACACTGTGTGAGTCTTATACCCCCAGCCTGAGGGTAGCTTGTTTGTAATACAAGGAGCGGGGAGAGGCTGGCTCAAGGCCGCCACTGTTGCCCTTCCCTTGGTTCTTCTCCGTTTTCTGCTGCTGTCCTCTGCCACATGCCTCTCTGCCTGAGGCCAGCCGAGTATGGACTGAAACTTCCATGAACTTCCTTAATTTCGGTGTTGAGTATTTTGTCCCAGCAACAAGTAAAAAGTAAGTGAGACAATGGTGGACTCCAGTGAAGGCTTGGCTCGCTGATGGACACATGGCTACAGGGCGTGGTACTGTACCTGTTGTGGTCTAAGAACCAGCAAGGAAGTGCAGTGCCTTAGCTGTTCCTCCAGCCAGTCATGTGTTCTTTTATTAACACCAGGGCAACAGCATGATGCTAGAAATAAACATGCGTTGATTATACAGTATATGCTTGGAAAAACCCTCTATTATAATTGGTGAATGCAAACAGACATTCCGTCCACTCTTAGTGCAGTATTATTTTTACAAGTAAAACAGTAAAGGAAAATAGTGAATTTAATACTATTCAGCACCTTTAGTAAAGTCAAAAGACTTGACATCGCCATATATCAAAAACATTTGCATCTGTATCACCAAACATGTCAAGTTTTTTCCATTTTTAACCTTAATTATTTTATTTACATTACCCTTTAGATCAATAAATTTTAACAATAAAAATTATCTAAATTCATAAAAGTATTCATAAATTTCAACATTTAGTTATTATGTACATACAAGGAAGTCCATGAGAAAAGTTAAAAGAAATGTGGTCAGAAAGTTCAAGCAACATTACGAAATTTAGCAAAATTCCAATCTAATCAAGGCAGAGGGCATTCAAACATTCAAAAATCTTTAATAAAAGTCAACATGAGAAATAATGTTGAACCCACCAGTAGAAAATATATTTTAATCGGCATGACATATGCAATGGTAATGACTTGATAGAAAACTGGTATAACATTGTCATGTATGAACTACCTGGTTTGAGCTTATGATAAAAGTACATTTTAGGACTAAAGAAGTTGATTTCAAAAATATATTTTAGCAGCCATAATTGTATTTCCAGTTAAAACACAGTAAGATGTTAAAAGTAAAATGTATAGTTAACTAAATAATACCCCAAACTAAAAAACATAAAACCCCATGCTCTTCTACAGTAACTGCCTCTAGGAGGATGTAGTCTGACGGAGACCGTGGAAAGCCAATAATAAATAGACATACACATGGGCTTAAAATTTCACTGAAATACTTAGGTAGCAAAATATATGAAAAAGTAATAGAAAAGTAAAAAGGGAAAATTAAAAAATATTGCACAGCCACATTACCTACAAAGTAAATCCAATGTTTAAAAAGCTCTACACATGGATGATATAAATTATCTTCCATACAAAAAGGTATAAATATCTCTTGGAACTTATTGGCATCTACATTTAACTATAATACACTATCGGAATCACTGCTGAATGAGGTAATTGTCAAACTCTAGCAATGCTCTTATTCTACTGGAAATACTTGAGGGCAGCAACCAGGAAGAACTTCTCTAGGAATATTTCCGAGTCGAGCACAGCGATGTGTGCCGCCCTCCCGATGAGCGAGTCGGCCGTGTTGGGCAGAGCGTTGATGACGTTGTACCGCACCAAGTGACAGTCCCGGCTTTTCAGAACAGGCCGAAGCAGGTTGTGGATCATTTCCGAATAGATCTGCCCTGTAGGCGAACAAAGGCAACACAGGTCATTGGAAAAAATTCCACTGGAACTGTTAGGTAATTTTTAAGATTTAGTTCCATTAATTTCCACGTTAAAGTAAGTAATTTCTTTTAAAACACTTTTCTTCAGCTACTATTTGAGACTCTTTTATACAAAATATAAATAATCACATTATCTAGCTAAGTAAAAAGAATTTTATTATACATTTTGTCTACTTGATATTTTAAACTGAAAATTAATGCAGACAATAAGCAAATGGTTTTCTTCAACATTAAATCACTGGTAACTCATTAACCAATTATGAGAACATGCCAGGCATGGTAAAACACATCTTGCCAGGCAAAAGAAAACACCTCAGTCTACAATGAGTTCAGTAGCACGCTGCACATGGAGCATGTGTGACTGTCCCATCCGGTGGCCTGGGATGGCCGTGCAGGGTGGTGCAAACACCCAATGGGACAGTCATGAAGACACAGACCCATCACGAACGTATAAAGATATTGTACGGTAGCTGGTGTTTTCAAGTTGTTTTGAGATAAGAAATGCAGCTCTGTAGTCAGAAGAGTACGAGCTTGACTCAAATCAGTTACTTTACTTAAAATAGTTAAGTTTTAAAAACTCGTACATTTTGTTCTGCATCTGTTCACAGCTCTGCTCCTCACGCCTCCTTCTGGCTAAGCATGAAGGACAGATGAGCCCCGCGGGCACGAGCTCCCCAGCGGCCGGAGGCACAGCACCGCTCGGGCTCCGTGCGGCGCCAGTGGAGCAGTGATGCAAGACAAGAGGCAGGGGAAGCCCTGAGGAGCAGGGAGGGGAGAGTACGCAGGAGGACAGGCAGGAGGGAAGAGGGCTCGTGGTACCATCAGAGTCCCATGAACTCACTAACATATTTACTTCCATCTCCCTTAGCCTCACTTCACATCAAGCTGCATTTCGGTTTCAGGCTGTTATTAAGGTATGCATACATGGGAAGAAGTCCACACTTCTTTGAACTGCCCCATGTGCCCCCAGTTGCCCAGAATCTGTTAAAACAAAATCCAGGGCTGGGGAGATAGCTCAGTGACCTAAGCGTCTGTCTGGCAAGCGCAAGGACCCAGGTTCGATCCCCAGTACTGCATGCTGTCCCAGCCCCAGAACTCCAGGTGCACTATGCCAGCCACCAAACTGGGCATGGTGGCACACACCTGTAATCCCAGAGCTGGGAAGTTTGAGCTGTGTAATGAGACCCTGACCGAATGAAAGAATGAATGAATGAATGATTTTTTTAAAAAGCCATTTATCTGGTCTCAACTGACTAGCAAGAGTTTTTTAAACTTGCCCCTCAAGTGGATTCTAGCCTTTTCTAGAGATTAATTTTTTTTAAAAAAGGTCATTCTGATGCCACAAAAGTAAGTACCCATTAAACAAGAGGCCTCCACAGCACGCTGGGTAGTGTGCCAAGTGCTGCCCACAGATACACAGAGCATCCTGTCTTGGGGAGGCACTCACTGTCATGATGTGGAAAAAGCAAAGGATAAAGAGCTGAAAGTCTTGTTTCAAAAAAGAACCTGAGACAGCTACAAGAGGAGACCCAGATTCCTGTTCTCAGCCTAACTGTGACTTTAGAGAAACCACTTGCTCTCTGGAGGCAGCCCGACTCCTTGTGGCTACAAACAGCGATGATCTAAATTTCTTTTGTCATTCACAAATAGGAAAAAAATATGAGGCAAGGACTCACTCTCAGCAGAGGGCAAGTCCTTGTCGCCATTTTCCTGGAAGGGACACCCAGCAAAGCGTGCAACTGGACCACTCCATCCCCACAACCACCAAGCCAGGGAAGAGGAGATGCAGGCATGGGCTTCCCGCAGCCCTTCTCCTGCCTGTCCCTCCCCATCTCTTCTCCTGCCTCTCCCCTCCCTCCCACATCCCTCCTCCTCCCCCCTTCCTTCCCTCTGCCTGCTCCTCATGCTGTCTTTCAGGCAGGGTTTCACTCTGCAGCTGGGCTGGCCCGAACCCACAGTCCTCTTGTTGGGCTGCGGTTACGGGCGCACACTACAATGTCCTCCAGCTTTGATTACTTTTGAGGCAACAAAATGGAAAAGTCATTGTAATTAGATGAAAAAACTGTTTCACTGTCAAGACAGCTCAAAGGCAGGAGAGAACACAGAGGAAGGGTAGCTGTTAATAGCTGGAAAAAGCAACAGGAAAGAGGAGGGCAGAAAGAAGCGCATGGCCGCCAGGCAATAAGGGTAGAGCTCACGCACAGGCACAGTGCTGAGCGGTACTTCATGCGCATGTAATTACCTGACTGTTTGTCCTTTAAGGCTGTTTTACACATTTCAATCCGGGCAGAATGATACGGAACATAGCGGTCCTGCAGCGATCCCACCAGCACAACATTTTTGAAATAATGAAGCCCTTGGAATGGAAAATTAAGAATTGTCATGCAATAATTTACTAGATTTACAAAAAACTATTTAGTCTGAGATTAAGTAACAAAAATAAATTTATTCATCAGTCGTGCCAAGTTTTAACTCTCGAACACACTATGAATGCTGTCCTCCAGTCCCATGTTCTGGCACAGCAGTGTCACGCTACGCTGTTTCCACTGTGGCTGCGCTGAGCGCAAGGGGGGACTGCCATGTGGCAGGAGCCAGGGTCCTCAGGTTCTGGGGTACAGGACAGCACAATGCCATTACCTTTGAAGGGGCCAACACTCAGGGATATTTCCAAAGAAAACTGCACGCTTGGCCATACGTGGGTTTTCCAGTGGGCCAACACCCAGATTACCTTGGCGCCATCGACAGTGCGGAGGGCCACTCCCGCATAACAGCGCTGGGCCAGTCACACTGACTCCGCCCCCCCACGCCATGGAGCTGGGCGATCTTAGGGCGGAGGAAGGGGACTAGGGCAGGCTGTGCCGAAGTGCCTCACGGAGCTGCAGACTGACGAGAGCGAGGTGCACCGCAGCATAGAGCCTTTCCTTGGGCACGTCCACAACAGCACGAAGCAAAGCAAAGAACCGCAAAAAAACCCCTGAGCTTTTCTTCTGTAGCATGACTGGATGAGGAAACTTCAAGGCAAAGACAGTGATGTGCACATTAAGAACGGATCCTGTTAGCCCTCCAACATCCAACAGCCCTGAAAGCTGAAAGGCAGGATGATGCACACCCCTCTCTGGTTGCAGCTTATGCAGAACACAATGGGCGCCATCCTGTCCCAGGAGTCTGCTCCCTCACCTGGGGAGGTATTCAAGCAGATCCATCCAGTGACTCATGTACATAGCCAAGACCACTGATTTGAAGAGGTATTTTTGAAAGAGTCAAGAAAGAGAAGAAACGCTAAAAAACCCCAAAAAACAAAAATCAAGCCAAAATTAGCACCAAGGGTAAGACCAAACTGAAGGAGAAACACTAGACACAAAGAAGACAGAGGAAAAAAGATAAAGGACCTAGGTGCCTATTTTATGATCTGAGAACTAAAGGAAATTATTACATTGGAAGAAATTTTTTTTTAGCAAGCCATTGCAAGAGGACTTTTTAAGTAGATTGAAAAACTGAGAGATCCAGCCCAGCCCAGCCCCGTCTTGGCGAGTGTGTGGGAGAGCTTTCGGCTTCCCTGAGCCCGTGGGACCTCTCTGGACCAAAACCCAGGCATGCTGCATGAATGAGACCCTCTGCCGCGCCCTTGGGACCCCTCAACCTGTCTGGAGCCCCTGCCCCCAAGCCTGCCTAGTGAAAAAGAGAACTTCTGTGACGCTCTCAGGACCCCCAGATCCAGCCCAAACTTAGGCCCAGCTAATGTGTGGGGGAGCTTCTGTGCTCCCCTGTGCGCCCTGGGCCAGGAGCACAACACAGGGGCACCACAGGTTCACTTCCAAGAGCTACAGCAGGAAGGTGCTGAACACAACAGCTAGACCCAAGCCAGGCATAACTGGATAAACTCAAACTTAATAAATTTGCACCCGAATTTCAGTAGGTGCTAAGGTTATAACTGCACCAAAGCTCTACACCAAAGGTCAGAGGTCAGTGCTATACAAAATGACAAAGACAAGGAGCAAAATGCAATCTCAGCCCTCGAGCCCACTCAGAATAAGTGCAGAGGACACTAGTTCAGCTGAAATGTATGATTTAATAACATCGGAAGTAAAGAAACAATAGCAGAAAGGTATAGAGGAACTCAGAGCAGAATTAATTTCTGAAATAAAAAAGAAATCTCTGAACTCAAAGCATCTGAAGTAAAGAATCAAATAGAGAAACATAGGGAGAACACCCAATCTGAAAAAAAC